ATGAGAATGTGGTTCTTCCTGGTGTTATTCCCTCTACCATGAAGGGCCCTCAATCAGGTCCAGACTCCATGGCCTGGTCCCTCTCTGCAACCCAGAGCTCACCTACCTCTTAGGATATCACCGAGTGGGACGATATCTTGGAGAGGACCATCCAACGATCTGTGTTGGACCTGGCACATCAGCTGTGACCTCACGTCTCCTTGTTCCAGCGGGATTTCCACCGTGCTCTCTGCTCGGTACGAGATGCTCTCTGTTCCATCCAAATTCAGGATGTTGGTCTGGGCAGCCTGTATTTTTTTCCCGTCCTTCAACCAGCTGACTGTGATCTCTCGGGGGGAAAATCCCTCTGTGGAGCAGTGGAAGCCGGCCCGAGACCCTGCCATGACTCTTCTTGTGGGGCCACGAACCACAGGCTGGGATGGCTTAGCTGAGGGAGAAAGTAGAGAGAGAGATGTATCAGTTGACGTTCCTCAGTGATAATACAGGAAGCTACAAGGCTGTGTTTGGTTGGAGAGACTGAACTTCAGAACATGAGATTTACTCCCACATGTCTCTCGGTTGACTGGGAACATCTCCCCCCACCCCCAAAAAGCAAGTTGGATGGGCCACCTACCAATTATGAAGACCTGCGTGCCTTTCCCCGAAGCCAGTTCTCTCTCTGGGAACCCTGCCCTGAACTTCACACAATAGTAGGTCCCGGCATCTTCAGGACGGATGTTTGGGATGTCGATGCTGAAGTCCGTGCTGGATCCTGGGACCAGCCTCACCCCCCGGTTGGAAGCTCCTTGCTTATCGCTGTAAATGGGGGGCTGGTTTCTGTCCAGCCCTTTGAACCACCGCACGCCTCCAGGCAAATTTGTCTCAATCAATGTACACTGTAGAGTGAGGCTGTCTCCAGCTTTCACCGATACGGTTTCCGGAAGTTGTGTTACCTCCATTTTCTGTCCTGTAACAACTGAAACAAAAAGAGACTCTTTTGTGACTAGGTTTCCTCTAGAAAATGGCCACCACTCTTCTGGAGACAGAGGACCACAGGTGATGCTCTTTCTACATCTACAGTTCCTTACACCAATATCCCAATCCCAGAAGAACACATTAACAATAAACAACAGTTTAGGAACTACCAAGAACACTCCTACTAACACTAATAGTCACTTGTATATAAACAAAAAGCAAACCCACTCCCTTCTAGCACTGATCATGTTACCTAGTTGGGTAATGAAATGTCTGCAAGAACACCAAGCTCAGGGACCACCAAGGACTCTACAGTCCTCCTCCTCCTCCTCCTCCTCCTCCTCCTCCTCCTCCTCCTCCTCCT